TGAAATTTACAAATGAATTATTCATTTAATCGCTTCACGGACAATTTATTTGCGAACACTCGCGTTCGAGCGGGAACCGGCTGAAAAAGAACTTCCTTGGAAGTCGGGTTTCTCCGTTTAAGTCCTGAAACTGTGTTCTGCAACGAATGCCCGTTAACTTTTCCACTGTTTCGAGGAGAGATTTTCGCTGTTCGCGTTTGGTGATTAGCGGAGTTCGTTCAACGTGTTTGCAATGCGCATACCTGGTTTCCCTTACATTTCGACGAATATTCTCCTGAGAAGTATGTATCACATTTGGAAAACAAAAGTCCAGTAAGCCATGCTAATCGATAATTCGAACACTTTTAATTAGTCCAAATTAGCGAAGCCATGGGGAAAAGTACTATAGTAATAATGGTCTGAAATACACATGGCGGTCTGAAGCCATTTTCACGAAATTGTTTTTTGCACAAAATTTTATTTTCGATTCAATCAAATAATTAACAGGGCTAGTTGAAATTGAGAAATAATTTTCAATGCATATACAGCTTCGTAAAAATATTTCTAAAATCAAATTTAAGGTGACTGGACTGTACAACGAGACGTCGGCCTCGTAAAAACAAGCTTGTACCTAACGCGTGCATGTGCAACGAGCATCGCGAACGGCCAGAGGAGCCGGGTCACGCGATGAGAGAAACGTTTTTCCCGTAAATGGGAACGAAACCGTCGTTACTGCCACCTAAGGTTTACGTTGTAATCAGACCGTGGTTCTATTGCGTCCTTATGGCTTTCCGTTTACATTGTCGAGGACTTCGAACTTCACGAGCCGCGATTAGACCAACAGTGAATGCTCGCGATTCTCGCAATCTTTTCTTTCGTTCTGAATTGTAGAAGTTCTAGGAGATGGAGTCACGGTGATACAGATCTTTTCTTTGCGCGAAGTAGCGAATCCGTTTGCGAAATTAGATTCAGGATATCAGGATGAAGGGAATTATGTTCGTTTAACTGGCCACGCTCGTTTAATACGGTAGCTGGTATTAATATGGGTAAAAGTGTTACTTTGTAGATAATAGTTTTCTTAGATATAGGCTGAAATACTATGCGAAACAAAATAGGAAAAATCGTTTTTTGATAGCTATTTATGTTTTGAACCAAGTAGCCACGATTTTCAGTCGCATTTTTTCAATTTCAGATCATTGTGCAACGCCCCAGAGGAGTAACTTGCGTCCGTAACGGGGGACCATCGATATGGGAAAAGGAAATTCGCAGTAGCCAGAGGCAGGAGAGTCCAGGTAAGAAAATAAATCGCAATGATCTCCCGCGCGGCGGCCTGTATCCTTGTAATTGGCTCCGTGAGAGAGCTCGCATTCGCGGCGATGATTGTCGCCAACCGCTCGATATACATCACCCGAAAGACACGGATGCGCGTCCACCGCGAGGAGGATGTTGTTTGCCACGGTGGTAAAAGGACCCCAAAGGAGAGAGGACTTGGAAACGTGCGCGCGAGGCGAAGCGAAGATAGCGCTGACAAGCGGCCACCAGGAGCCCTCGCGTGCAGAAGCTGCGCTTCCTCTCCCTCTGCAGGCCGCCACTCTCTTTCCATCTTTAAAAGGACCATCGAGAACCGATATACCGTCTTTCCCGACACTGGCACGAATCGAAGTCGTCACTAATTTGGTGTCGAGCCGGCTCGACGGTCCGCGCCACACGATGTTAGCTAACGCGCTCGCCAGGTGTTGAAGCCTAACTCCAGTCGAAGAGATAGTTATGTCCGTTCAACGCTTGCCGCCGCTTTCTCAGGTGCTGGCGACACTCGGGTTGGTTTATTTCTAGGTGCAGACTCGTGGAATTCTAAGGCGTGGGATCTAATTTGGGGAATGAGAAATATGTGGCTTGGCTTATTTTGATTATCAGTATATAACCAATTTTGATACTTGGATAATTCTTAATCTCATAGCCAGCTAACGCAGGTATTTTTAAGTGCATTCAATATTCGGTCAAGGCATCAAACTTGATACCTAAGCAGTCCACCTCCTTCCTGTTCGGCACGTTACAAAACTGTCATCCATTCTAAACGACTTGTTAGCTTTTCTTGGACTGCGGAGTCGCTCCCATGATCTACCAGGCGCGAGAAAAGACGACAGAGAAAAAACGCGTGGCGCTGGCTTCCGCGTGAAATTTCAATCGAACCTACCCGTTACGTGACGCCGTGGCGGGCATGAGGAGACACCTTTTTTCCTCGTCAGCATCGGTTCCATGTACGTAGCCGATGTCGGCGTCGGCCGCGACATGCCTTCGCGAACACGGTCTGGCGTGCAGTGTCGCCAAGACGCATTGCGCGTCGTGCTATCGGCAAAAAGGCCGGCTTTCCAATTGAATTTATTCGCCTAACGAGTGTAGATTCCCTCGCGCCGGGTATGGCCAGGACAAATGGCGCGCATCTCGCCGCCATGTAGTTGGAACGAGAGGAGTCCGTTACAAAGTGGAAAGCGTCGAGAATTACCGGTGACAGCGTTACAGGGTTAGGCAACCGCGGTGGAGGTTCGCGGAATCGTCTCAGGCTAGCTCTAGGCTGGGAATTTCTGATCGTCGAGGTACTGAGTTGAAAAGGACCTCGGCGATGTACACTAAAGTTAAATTGCAAAGTCAGGGTGCAATTCATAGGAAGACTCTCGTAAATTCGATGGATTCACGCCTCAAGTTACAGAAAGAAACTTTTTGGTCACGGTTAAAGTCACCGTGTCATACTTAAAAATCGAAAATTCAAAGAATGAGGACTCGCGTTTCCAATTCTTCCAAGGATTGTATTCCAGTTCTCGGAGCCACCCATGCGTACAGGGCACAGAATGGGAGATCCTTGAACGGGTAGCCCCATAGATCCATCAGAGGTTGACCCGAGCGCGGTGTCCGGGTTGTGCACTCGATCCCCGGTGTATCGCGCGCAGTCACAGAGAGCTGCATTACGTATGGCGATTGCGTCAGGGTGATATCGTCATCGGACAGGGCGAACACGACTTTAGCCTTCTCGGCGTAGGACACGAGAGAGGAGAGCAGAGGTGCGTGTCCCGACACGGCTTGCCCATTAGGTGGACCGCCGCGCCATCAGATTAGATTCCGTTTCGTTCTCAGTTCGTCCGCAACAATGCGGTTGAACCCGCGATGCATCGCCGGAACGACGACGTTCTGGCTAACACGCTTCCTGGATTCGTGAATCTCCGCCCCGACTGGTCCTCGTGACTGCTGGAAGAATCCCTTCGAAGGGACACGCATCTCGCCGAGATCCTCGGACATGGGGGTCGAGGCATTTCAGGGATTCCATAGACCAATCGTAGGTTCTCCGTCGAGACTTTCTGGCGAATCACAGAATCTTGACACTTGGTGGTATTTTAGATACCGAGAAGACTGTCTGGTGGTTTCAGATCGTCACTGGCTTTTAACCCACTCAGGTTTTTATTAGAGCTCGCGTAGTCCATGGTGACGACTCCTACACGCGACATCGGAGGTGTTTGCGCGGTAGCAGGTACCGTAGGCGCTGAACTACGTAGAAATACGTTTATGTGTATGCATAATCTATCCAGCAACGAATGTTCCCGTGTTTAACGATAAGGTGAGAACTTCTAGGTACTAACACGCTACCATTCTACTAGTATACCAGAGTCCAACTAGAGTTCTCTACAGTCCAAGTGTAATCCTCATTTGCCCCTAACAGATCTGTAAGATTCGCGAGCCCCAACGACTTTTCCTCGGTTTAATTCGTCGAGGCACGCGATTCAAAAGAAAAATTCTAGTAATTCTCGATATAATCGTAACACGACACTCACCCCGACAGAGACCTTCCTAAGTCTTCCACTTGGAATCTACCTAGAAAAATCTTAGAGTTCAAGGGTTGGCGTTGTTTCAGCGTGATCGGTAAAAATTCGCGGCTCTCCGAAAGCGGTCCCGACGAAAGGCGTCGCAGATCGATCGTCCCGATTACGTAATCGGGGCTTTCGAAGCGGAGCTGCAAGTCCTCCGCGCTGAAAGATGCTCCTTTGCCCCGGAGGGCACTTAATCTTATCTGCGCCGTGGCTTTTGTCGGCCGGTTGATGCTTTCACGAAGCTTTCTTATCGGTTCGAGCGGCGCGCACGACTCCGGTGCTCGGCTCGCTTCCGCTTCGGCTCGTATCGTCCCGTATCGGCTCGTTTCCACTTTTGTCGTAGTCCCGCGAGAGAACCGGTAGAGAAAATGCGCGCGCTTTTACGCCGCCGATACGCGATATCCGGCACAATATTCCTCTCGCTATCTTCGTCTCCTATTAACGACGTGTTTTTGTCGCCAGGAGATAATTATGTTGGGAACCAACGGATCCCTGCGTTTCGAGACCCTGGAAGCTCATACTAGATGGTGTCTCACTGAAAGTGGACACTGTACTCTAAGGCGCGGTGCAAAAGCACTTTAAAGAGACTAGGTTGAATCGTGTCGAAACGATGAAACAATTTGATAAACGTGTCGAATTCAAATCCAAATCGTTTTTGAATGAATTTCCACGCACAATTTTCCTTTCGTCGAGTGATTCTCAGAAAATCCAGTAAATTATCGTAGAACGAGGAGGCGTGTCCCGATGGGAAGTTTATTCGAGGACTTATAAACGTACACGGGTCGGGGCCCGCATTAATGTATCTGCAGTGAAATCGGTGTCCTCGGAATCGCCGCGGCACGCACTCGATGTTGTCGCGGCTTTTTTCGATTCCCGCATACCGGTTCGGGACACGCTTGCATTTACTCGCGGGTTATCGGCATCGAAACGATCTTTGACGAGCGGACGCGACTCCGCCCTGAGAAAAACTAGTAATTAGCATCGCATCTGCTCGATGACACAAGCGTCACGTTACTCCTGTGATCTGAAAAGGATTAACATCCGACGTGTCGAAAGAAAAAGGGCGGCGCAACGTGTAATTACGAGAAAGTTTGACGACAATGAAGGAAATGGAGTTTTAGGATGGAAGATAAGATCGATCGAGATCGAGGATCGTGGACTTACCTTGGCGTCGTTGTTGATCTCGTACCTCCCTCTCTCTCCTCGTGTCTGGATCGCCCTGCAACACAGAAACGTTTGCATAAGTAATTTACTCTTGCTTTCATCTCATTCATCTCGTACGCGCTAGCTAAATTACTATATAATTACTATTCGAGTGCAGTTGTTTCCAGTTAAAAAAAATCTTTTCTCTTTGTCCTCTTCCCTCGCGCCCACGCCAGGTCTGCCCCTGCGTCGTCCTTTCAGGCGGATACAGTGGTCGTTTTCTCCGCGTCAGACACATGGAAGAGGCCGTACGAGAGGAACTCGGTAATAAAGTCGCGTCTCGTTATAGGATGATACGGCTACCTGGCGGGCAAGGCGCCGTGCAATTACCAAGTTGCATAATTGCGCCATGGCAACAGAGTAAGGAGAAAAAGATGGAAGAGTAAATCAGTCCGCGTGCGCGTACGTCTCTTCCCCGTAATATTACTTTATTAGCGAAATGGGATAATGCCACGGTGTGTGACAAATTGGGAGCAACGCACGCTCGCGTACCAGACGACGGCCGGAAAAGCGATGAATATTCATGGAGACTGAGCGTTAAGGAGAGCTGGGTGTCGGTGGGACCGCTAGAAGCGCGCGCTACACCACCCAGCGAACAAGGCCCTGTTCACACGTTCTCAGCGTCGCGATCATCCTAAAAAATCTGCAGCGACACGATGACGACTGCGTTCACGCCCTTCCCTCGTTCCTACAGATTAACAGATATTGCTTCGAACGTACCACCTATGAGCTCAAAACAGAATGCGAAAAATAAAAGGTAACCGTTTCTTTCGATCGCTGATTGTAACAGTGTGTGAGCGATCAGATAATTACTCTCGACGAAAATTGTATACTCATAACAGGACTTTATTGCGTAACTAGGGAGAATCTCAGTCGAAAGTGTTTCTAATTATCTCGTTCAGTTGTGACGGTGCGAAAAATTGTTCTATACGTAATTGGAATAGTAGCGAAGGGTGCATATGTTGCACGAGAAATCTTCTTTCGAGTGTCATACAAGTAGGAGTTTGATTTATTTTTAGAAGACTCTTTCTTTCTTGTCGTTATTGTGCTCCTCGTTACGAACAAAGAGACGTGTAAGGTGGCACGAACGTAGACAGCGATGCAACGGATACCATGCTACCAGCCAATTTATTAACTTTAATAATAAACGTGATTAAAGTTTCATTCCGTGTCTGTCACGCGTCTCAGTCGCACTCGTTCGATCGTTCCAGCGTTGCTAATTAAAGTAATAAGCTAGGTCAAAGAATTTACCGTGAATCATTACGCGAGCACTATGATTATTTTTTCCTTTCCTCCGTGCGTTGGGCGTCGTTAAAACCGCGTGAAAAAAAGAATGCGTTCAATGTCTTGCTTCGGTAATTATTTATTACAGGCCGTCGTTCGCAAATCCTCGAGAGTTTCATTAATTGCGCGCAGTCCTCGTGCAATTACGTTCGTCGTTTGCAAATGAAAACTCGTCGGTTTCTTCAGGTGTTACGTGCAGTGTGATACGAAAAGATCGTATCAGTTTTTGTTATAGTTATACAATTATTATTGCAATCCGCGTTGTCTTCGTAAAACTGGAAATATCACGCGAAGATTCGACACTGGCTAGAATTAATTAGAATAGCGCGCAAATAGGTTGATTCGAGCACGCTGTGGCAATATGTAATTAGTTAAACCAGTCGTAACGAACATGAATTTCTGAATGGGCAATGTTCGACTATCGATCATTCGATCGGTGGACACGCGAACTGAAATGTCCTAATTGATCAGGAAACGAGGCGCGAACGCGTCAGAGTTTATAAATACGATTAAGCAATTACTTAACGCTTAATTACCCCATCCGAGTAGTTATTATCTCTCGGAACGAATCGATGGCTAGGCGTGTTTCTTTCGTCGCTTACGCAGTTTGCACTCAACGTTCAAGCTAAAACGCTATACGAACGATTGCTCGATACAGCTCGGTAGACAATTAATAGGAAGACATTTAATAAACGATCTCGCCAGCGCCCGAGCCGTGTTGAATTTTCATCGAACGTCCAAACTAATTCACCGTCCAGCCGTACTATATTACAACATTACTTTGTACCGTAATACAAGTCGATGTTGCCCGATTAACATCCGAGATTACAGGCAGGCTCCTTACGCCAATGAATGTACTTAGGCGGTGAGAAACGATCGAGGCTCGCGTAGATAACGGCGACAACGCTGGCGACGAGCAAGACTACGATTACGGAGTCCTTTGTCCCCGTGTACGACGCTGGCGGTATCTCCCAGGTGTGTTTACTCGCTTCTTTAATAACAGTTGGCATTTCGAACGGTTATTTAGCTTGTTCGAGGCTTGGCAATTATACTTTTTCGATGGAATAACTGTTTAATAAAAAAAGGTGTTCGTATACTTTTGGTGATAATAAAATAACGAGGCTAAAATAAGATGGAAATCAAGAACGATGAAAGTACATTCAAGGCTCCCACTTTTGAGATATTAATCACCGAAGATGCGCTTGGCAGTTGTCTGGCGCGAGGGTCTCATACTACTGCCGCAGTGCAGGCATCAGGCAGCGGTAGTAGTACGAGTCCCTCGTGTCAGACACCTACCAAACGTATCTTTGTCAATTACCTCGAAACTGAAGTTTCAAACGTATCTTCATCGTCGTTAACTTACGTCTTATTTTGTCATTTTATTTATCGAACTGTTACTTTGTCGTTTAACGTTTACTTGGAGTATTCTCGAGTCGAGACTCGTACCCATCGCTAGTACTCTCTCAGGAGAGCCTCTTTCTTTACGACTGGAGGCGACCGTCGCGCTAGAAAGGTCGCGCGCGACCAGGCTGTCCTCTCGCTTCTATCGGTCGTTGGTGTAATTAAAAGAATGCTCTGTGTGTCACACCGTCGCGAATATCCGCGAGTTTACGACGCGGCCGCACGCAAGGGGGCGCGATAACTCCGCGCGAAAATGCCTACGTGCTAATATTACGATGGCGAACGGTGCTTGGGCAAATGCGGATCACCCACGCCTCGCGATTCCTTGGACACTTTTGCCCGTTAGATTAGTCTGTGACTTGACGCGACTCTGTAATCTCTAAACGTTGCGTGTGGTATACCAACGAACGGGAAACAATTGTCACACAATTGTCTAGCTTATCGCAATCGCTGTGTTATTCACATTATTGTAGAATTTAGTCGCGCAGTTTGACTTTTTTACACCGATATTTCTTTTTCGCGCTCTGGATACAAATCGAACTCTTGCACTCTTCCAATCACATCTCCCTTTTACTCTATATTGGAACGAGTATTCGACGTTTACTCCCAAGATCTGATTCGCTGCGAAAGGCGGTGCGATTCATCACGAGCGCGCATCGAGCGTCAAATCGACAGCCTCGGTTCACGCGTACGGTCGCGGTTCCGCGCTGTCTCGGCCGTTAGACGTCGGTCGGGAATCGTTTAATTATTTGAGCCGGCGACGCGGAACCGGCGAGCGGCAAATATTTCTCGTCGTTGCCTTTCCAGGAGGACGAAACGGCCAGGCGTGGGAGACGTGGCTTTGCGAGCAGATATCGTAGATTAGACGAGGGGGCAACGGACGCAGGCCAGCGACGCCGATGGTCCATTGATAAGATTGTCAGCGAAGGGAAGTCGATGGCCGATCAATTAAGGAAATCCTCGCCTGCATGCAGAAACGCAGCGCGGCCCCCGTTGCTCGGCTGGCTCCGTATTTATGGTATCTGTCCGAGGCTGCGGCTATAACCGTCAGTTTGTTTGTTATAAAACAAGCCGCTGGCTTTCGCACATTGTCCGCCGCGAGATAATCGACCGCCCCGTCTCTCCGCCGCCCTGTTATTAATGCGTAATTGAATGTTGCGATTCATTACCCGGACGTTATATTTCAAGTCCCTGTCTCACGAACGACGTTCAGCCTCGTGCTTTCGCGCTCTCGCGTCCCTAGCCTTCGTTAACAAACTCTTTGCTCCTTTCCTCCCGAGCGATCCGCTTCTTCGTGTTCCTTTTGGCAAATTATTGCGTTTAAATTGTCGGCGTTCGTGGTATTTGCCTCGGCGTCTGCCAACCTCGCGTAGAATTCGTTGCAACGATTCTTCATTTAACCAATGTAATTCATTCGGACTAATAAGAGGAGTTGCGAATGTTCAAAGTTCAAATTTAATAGGTTAAACTTTAATACAAAGAACGGTGTTCATGGACACTGTTCACCCTTTGGCAGTCTTTTCCTTGATTTTTCTTTACTTTTTTTAACATGGATATCTTTTATACCAGCTTCGAAAGCTCTACTGGCTGAAATTTTAATAGTGAAGATTTTTTCCATCATCGAGAAACGTGTTTGCCCTTAATCATCGTCCAGCATTTTTATTTTTCGTTTTGGTAGATTTTGCTCTTTAAAATATAAACCCCCGAACTAATTTCAAAGTAAGCCTTCGAGCCATACGTAGCCCGTCGATTTTCCCGCTTTCGTTAATCTTTCATTATTCAAGGGTCGAGCGAGTCAAGATAATGAGTAGTAACGTTATTATAGAATGTAGACGAGCGTGTAATGAAATCTTTTTTATTCGTAGATCAATTTTTTTTTTGCCGTAGAATATTATAGGAAGAAGCGAGGAAAAGGAAATTTCAAGGTGGGCGTTGAAGATTCATTATATATTCTAGTGAAATTGAAAACGGGTTCCAAAAGTAGAAGAAGCCACCTGTGAGAAGGTGCTGAGAGCTATAACTGACATAAAACTCGAGACATAGTGACATCTGTAGCAGAATGCTGCGTTCGAACGTCCTTTTTTGCTGTTATCAAATTCACGTCGACCAGCAAGAACTGCAATCTAAACACTCCCAAGGCACCTGCCATCCTTCCAGAAGACTGATTCCTCTGGATTCCTTGGGACTTTCGCGCATCGAAGAATGATGCTGACGACTGAGCGACGTCCCCCGTCGTTCGGACGCGTTCCTCTTCCGTCGTTCGCGTAATCTCTCGCCGAGCAAATTGCGTCGCGAGTCGCCTCGCGTAAGTAGCTTTTTTCCCAGCCGGTT